AAGTGCCTCACGGCTCATGGGCTCGTGTACGATCAAGAATTGATGATAACACTTTGGGGGGCTCAGCCCCTGGCAAGGCCAGGAAGCCCCGTGGGGCGCCACCACAGCCGAGCCCTCGAGCCCCCCACGCGCACACGCAGGGACAGGCTCCGAACCATCGCCTGCGTCAGTACGCTGGCCTCGCACCCGGGCACACCGTCCTCCTCGCTGGACAACGGGGGGACGGCCGGCAACCTCCCAGGGCGGTGGTGGTCCCCACCAGAACGGCCAGAGCCGGGCCCAGCAGACCACCGTCACATGGGAGCGCATTGCTCCCCACACACGGTGGCTGCTTCCGGGGCACGAGAGCACAGTCCGCCTACCAGAAGCGCCTGTTTCTCTTTGCAGTCAAAGTGCTTCAGTCTCTTGAGAGACACCGTGATCCTGGAAGCAGAGAGACGAAGGTTAACGGGGAGCCCGTCTCCTGAGTCAGGACAACGGTTCCCTCTCCTCCGATGGAACTAGCGGGGACCGTGGGGGCCCCCTCCAGCACCAGCTGCCCAAGGAAGCCCCGGACACAGGCCCTAGGGGACGTGGCTGGGGCCACCATGCGGGACGCTCACCCCCCGGCCACCCGTGGGAGGTGGAGGCAGGGTCGCTGCCCACAGCACCTGCAACGACTGGAGTATAGTTTGTGGGGAACGGGCAGGATCCGCCAAGTGTCTAACTGGGCCGCCCTTCAAAGCTGGCAAATAAAGCTTGGGACACCGGACTGTCTGAGCAGTCCCTTTCAACACAGCTTCCGTCTGGATTCGTCTTCTGGGGAGCTGGAGTGCAGGGGCGTGAGACCATCCCGGCCCTGGACCCCAGCCCCCTCCCGACCATCCTGGCGCCCCCGAGCTGGCAGGCCTTCACCCAGGAAGCATTTGCAGAGGGCAGACAGCTGGGTTACCCTCTCCCTTTGGGGTCCATGTGCCCCTCGATAAAGAGCACACTGGCTTTCTTATCTCTTCGCCGGACACTCTTGACCTGTTGGCAAATCCAAGAAAATAAAGCATCAAGAACCCAAAAGAGGCCATGGGTTTGAATTACCTTCCTGACCTCTTTTAACCATGCAGATTGGCATGTGGCTGGTGTGTGACAAGGAATGCCGCTGGCCGGGGGGACCAAGGCCAAGCCCCCAGTCGGAGGCTCAGACACCACCCTGTCTGCTGCATGCATTACTCAGTGCTCACAGATGAGCAGGACCAGGCAGCACTTTGCTCTGTTCTCCTAACACAAAGAGCCAAGCCTACACTACCTGCCACCTCTGCAGATGACCACACGATTCTCCCCTGACTCAGCAGGACAGGCTCATTCTCATTTTCGGGATGAGCAAAGTGAGCTCAGGCGGGTTGGGACCTGCTGAGGACACAGAGGCGGTGGTGCCTCCTCCCTGCCCGGTGCCTGTCTGTGTCCCCGGCTCAGCCGTAAACCAAGAGCTCACCCCAGGAACCTGTGACCTTGGAGATCCATGACCCAGCAAGGTCCCCAGGGAACTGGTGAAAATGAGGAGAGGTCCAGGAAAAGGGTGCCAGTTGCGCGCGGGGGGGGGGGGGGGGGGGACACGAGCGTCTGCCACAAAGCAAATACTGAAGGGAGACCAAAGGGCCCTGATAAACGACCCCCAACAATGGTGCAGAGACACTGCACGGAGACCCCCATTTCATCTGCATATCTGTTCAAGCTCCCCTTATGCCCAGCAAACGCTGCACGGATGTCAACCCTACTGTTCCTACAGCCGGTCCACCCCATGCACGGAGACCGTGCTGCCCGCTGAAGGTCAGCCTCACAGCAACAACAGGAGTGTCTCCAGCTCCTGCAAACACCTTTCCAGGTTCAACGTCACCGTTTCTCACTACAAGTTAAAGCCCTAGAGCTGGAGCCGTCGGAATGCTGTCTACACTGGACGGGGAGGAAGGACACCGGATAAAGGCGGGGGAACCGGCATGCTGCCCTGACCTAAAAAGTAAACGGACAGCCTGCACCGTCCAGGCTCAGCGCACGGAGAAAGCAGAGCCAGGAATTTCACTGCACTGAGGCCCATCCACCGCACATGCACAGCCGATCCCTACCCTGAAATCTGAGCAATTTAAAAGCTCCAAACGAGAAACTCTCAAGCGCACGGCACTTGAAATCAGCAAGTTGCCGATTTTTTTACGCAGCTTTTCAGGTTTTCCTGAGCCTGCTCAGTCAGGACTGGACCTAGGACCCTCACGCTCAACTGTGCCAAATGATCACGTTCCCCTTACTCAGGTAACCATCTCCAGACCCTGCTTAGACTCGTTAAGGCCATCGGCTTCTCCCAATAAAGAAACCTCCGGGGGTCCAGCCGACACGAATGGGGGGCGAGGGAGAAGCGCGGGGGTTTCAGCGGGGTGCCCCCAATGCTTACCACTGCTGGCCAGAAGGGGTATTTCTGGTGTTTAAGCCAGACCAGCATTCCTACTTCAAATGAGCGTGGTTCTAAAATTAGAAAGATAAAAAGATAAACAGTAAGTCAGATCCACATCAGGCACCAAATGCAACAACTGAAAAAAAATGCGTCTGTCGGAGGTCACTTAAACCTGATGCTCTAACTCTCGTCAGAGATCCCCACGGTTTGCAAGGTAGTCTCACAACAATGCCTGAGTGCAGGGGACGCGCGCGCTGCTGAGCGGGGACAAGCTGGGGCCGACTCTGTACCGCCTTGGCCGCTACTCTGTAATCTCAAATTATTCCAGATTCAAACATCTTTTTAAAAAGAGTGTGGCTCAGAAACCCCAACAAAAGCAGCAAATTCCTAGGAACCTCATCAGTCTGAAAAACTGAGCTTTATCTTCAAAGGGAGAAAAAAAATGAATTACCAAAATCATCATCCAGTGACCACAGTTACCTCTAAACAAAATTTAACAAGACTTCCAACCAAACTCAAAACTCCAGAACGGATAATGTAAATGTTGAAACAGTGAGGTAAGGAAAGCTCGCAGATGCAAGAGGCGGCCAAGCGCAGCCACGAGGCAAGGTCTGCGGGCAGGCAAAGGGCTGTCATCCAACTGGCGAGAAGCGTTTGGTTTTTAAGAGAACCGTCAGGGCCCCGGGAGAACAAATAGGTCTCGGGAAACACCCAGACAGACATCAGGCTGTGGGGGGCTGGGGACAAGACAAAATCAAACAGAAGCAAAAACCAGGGGGTTTCTCTGGGCTGTGGTGACCTGGCCCCCTGCCGGCAGCAGTGGATGAAAATGGCCTTCTGGAAGAATCTGAAAGAATCTGGAAAAAGGTGCGTGGTCCCTACTCTGGCCGAGTTCCGCTCCCAGGAGCGAAGCCGAAAGAGCTCTTTCCCAGAGGCACACGCCGGGCACAGCTTAGCCCCCAGGCGTGGAACCATCTAGGCACCTGATGGTGGGGGTAGGGCTTGGTAAGGAACAAGCGTGGCCGCGAAGAGTCGTCAGAAGACCACGAGCAAGCATAAAGCGTGTCTAAATTACCATCGGCACAGATAGGGAGAAGCGTGCTGCGGCGTGGCCGACAGGAGCCGAGTCCGAGGGCATGCCCTGCCCGCCGCACCAGCGTTCGCCTCCCCAGGCGCAGGGTGTCGCCCTTGGAGTAGAGGCTCCCCCCCGGCCCCCCTCCACGTATTATTTTTGCAACATCTCGTGAATCTATAGTTACTTCATAACGAAAAGGCTAAAAAACACCAGAGTACATTAAAACTAACGAATGGATAAATCTAAAAATGAAATTCATTCTAAATGGTTTACTCCATGGAACAGACTAAACTGCTGTTGGTTGTCGGTTTGGGATCTTGGGTCTCTATTTCAGGTCCTTCCACAAAGAGGGCCAAGGGCACGCATCTGCGCCTGTCTGCTCTGGTGCGGCCAGCACATGCGTGTGGGAGGGGGTCCCGGGGCCCCCGCTGCCTCGGGCCAGAGACCCTACCTCTCTGGACAGAAAGCAATCGCTGTCCCCAAAGGCCTGGAGGCAGCGCCAGGCCACACCCGAACAGTGGCGACAGGACCCGGCTCCCCACGAAGGGGACATAAAGGAGAGGTGTGCTGGCAGGGATGCCCTCTTCCCTTAGGACCCACGGCAGAAAACACGCTCTGCTCTCTGCACGCTGCCGGCGCAGGAGGAACAGCAGCCTCCTCCGCCCAGGGGCTCAGCGCGAGCGGAAGCGCGCTTTCCGGCTGCTTCCCCAGACTCACCGTGATACAAAAGGATTCTGGGGGGTTCCTCATCGTCGTCCTCTTCCTCCAGGACGGGATGAATGGGACTGAAGTCGACTGACTCTCCGGAAGACTGACGGTCTGCCAACGATGTCAGATTACACTTTCACTGTCAGCATCTCAGGGACTCAGCCCGAGACACACATTTCATGATACATGACCGTCCACACAAACGTAAGAGCTCCCACGCGGCCAGACGCAAGGTGGGTACTCTGACTAGAGCACACTCACAGGAAACAAACGAGAGACGGCATGGGGGAGAGAGGCCTCCGCGCCTCAACGAGGGGCAGGCACACAAGCAGCAACCTAAGCAGACTGAGGGCCTGGCCGGGGAGACCGGCCCTCCAGGGCCCAGGCAGGCCGGCGGACGCTGCGGCTCACCTCCCTGCCACCTCGGACGAGCCGGACACCAAGTTTAAACACATGACGCTTAAACTCAAGGCAGAAACCCGAGTACGTGTGTAGCCAGGGAGTGTGGAGGCACGGAAGCCCAGAGAAAATAACGGTTCTCAATCAGCAGCTCAAAAACAAGACGGGACACCGCCATGTTCAAAGGAAACGAGCCACTGCACGACATGGCCACCACACAAAAGTACGTCTCCACAGGAATTGTGAACAAGCCGGGAGCCTTCTGAGTGAGTTCTTCACTTCTGAGATTCCTGCCCGTTCAGGGGGAGTGCACTGCACTCCCGTGCATCTGTCGGAGCCCAGCCCCGGGGCTGCACTCCCGGGGTGCGGCCGCAGCCTTCCTGCAGCCACCAGGCTCGGCCTCCGTGCCCCCTGCCCTCTCCCGTTCAGAACAAAAGACACAAGTCAGAATTACAACCCAGTGGGAGACACAGACAGAAAGGAATCGGGCAATATCTGCTCTGCTTCTATTTTGATACGACCTCATTAAGATCAGGTTAAAAAACACACAAGTGAGGGGTGTCTGGGTGGCTCAGTCGTTAAGCGTCTGCCTTCGGCTCAGGTCATGATCCCAGGGTCCTGGGATCGAGCCCTGCATCGGGCTCCCTGCTCCACGGGGAGTCTGCTTCTCCCTCTCCCACTCCCCCTGCTCGTGTTCCCTCTCTGGCTATGTCAAATAAATAAATAAAATCTTTAAAAAAAAAACAAAAAAAACCCACACAGATGCCTGACCTGCATTGGCCCCTAGGAGAACCCAGATCCGCCCTCTGCCAGCACAAGACCTTATCGGCCACAGACCTTTACCTTCCTCCACCAGGATGCGAGGATTTCTTGTCTCCTCTGGGGAAGCATGGGGGGCAGGCAGGCTGAGTTTGGCAGCGCTGCGCAAAGTCATGCATCCCCTCGGCCTCTGCCTGGGCACTGCCCCTGGCTCCCGCTGTGGGGTGGGCAGCCTCTGGCTGCCTTCTGGGTGCAGACGCTTGGCAGGGCGGCCTCGGGCATCTGGGCAGGCGGGCCGCCCCGGGGTCGGGAGCACTGTGGGGCCACGCAGAGGCAAACCCGGGTCTCGCCCTTTGGCCCAGAGACCCCCCTCCCTGAAGTTGGGAGGTGAGCCGGGGGCTGGAGGACTGCTGTCTTTTTCACCATCTCCCTCTGAGAGTGAAGGTACTCTCTGACACGAGCTAGGCTCCTGTGCTACATTTCTTCCCCTTTTACTCAGGGTTGTCTGCCTTCTGCAGCACGTTCTTGATCCACTGGCGTCCTGAGAACCCCCTCTGGCTGAGGGGACCACTGAGGCCCGTGCACTTTCACTTTTCCCAAGCTCCCTCTTGTGGTCTTTGCACTTGGAGTCCTTTCTACAAGTGGGTGAACCCGACAGCCTTGGGTGTACACGTTCCCTCCTCTGAGGTCCAGAACTGCTCAGCACGTCTTCCTGGAGACCAGAAGAGCTGGGGTCACAGAGCGAGGAGGCCAGTTCCATGGGCTTCTCTCCTGAAGACAGAGCAGTTCTTTCTTCCCTTGAAGAGCTTTCTTGAGGCAAACTGGTTCTTTGGTTCAAAACATCCAGAGCCACTCGAAGCGAGCGTCTGTAGGCCAGCTCCTCCAGGGGTTCAGCAGGAACCTTGTTCTGGGAGGCTGTAGGGGTGAGAAGCACACAAAGCCTGTGACGCCCAGGCGCCTGGCACTGCCATCAGAGCATGGCCACTGAGGGCTGACACGGGCTGTCACACCTGAAGAGGGGGGACGGACCCTGCTCAGCTCCGTCTTTCCCAGAGCAGGACAAGGCCACAGAACGACAGCCATTGTTCGGGGCCCCAGGGCTCCGCTTTTCCAAAAGCAAACTGACTGACCCCAATCTGATTGGGTTACAGAGATAAATCCCTCCAGGTCACAAAAAATACTGCCAGCAAAACGTACTCAGACACTTCCCACATCTTCCCAGCCTCACAGTTTCAACTTCAATCAGGCTCAATAAAAAACCCTTGCCAACTCCATAAAGAACTCTGCCGGCAACGTGTTCTTGGGTGGCGGTGGGGGTGAGGGGCAGCCCATGAAAGGGACCCATTGTGGGCTGGTGGATTTTCCGTGCTTCTGTGCGAGGGCGTTTCCAAGCCGGAAAAGAGCATCACGGACCTGGAGATTTCAGCCTGACCTCCTCGCTGCTACAGTTGTATTTATTCGTTCCGACCCACAGACACAGCACTATTTATGTGAACAAGGTGACGAATGCAATATCACAACTCGGCGGGCACGACCCCTCCCGCAGAGTCTCTTCCCGGGTTACTCGTAAAGGCTCCTACAGACCCCCAGCCCCCACGTGACCCGGGCAAACGAAGAGTGTCCAGGAGGCGGTGGATGATGCTGCCTAAGGTGTGCCGGGTGGATGCCGCTTTGAACCAAAGCAGTTTTTCCAAACGCAGACGAAAACAGATCCTACTTTATACACACCACTGGAAGGATTCCTGGTCAATCTTTCCATAAGGCTCACAGCGCTTGGTACAGGGGGTGTGCACCCCCCACCTCTGAGGCGGCAGAAAACACTTCTGCTCAGGTTTGCCGAGCTGCCAACAGGCAAGCGCACCATCAGCCCCAGCACCGTGGGGCTCGGGCCCTCCCTCCCACCTGGAAAGGCAAAGGGGGTGGGTGTCGGTGAGGGGAGTCCCTGCAGAGCATGGGCACCCAACAGCGATGCTGGTCACACAGTCCCTTCTCCCTGGAGCTTGGCTGTGGAATTTAAATACACACACCCCTGCTCTCAAACCCCGGGCAGGGAATGAACCAGCATCAAAACCAGTTTGAATCTTACTGTGGGATGGGGGTGGTGGGGAAGGAAGCATCTTGCCCCATCTCCTCATGGAGGCAAATGCACACCGGAGGCCATGGATGTGACCAGCAGATCCCAATGCTCACGGCAGGCCACACTGGGAGTCAAGAACAGGATTGGTTCTGGGGTAAGTTCTACAAAGGTTTAAGAAAACAGATCCATTTCCTCCTCCTTGGCTCAGGGTTACCTGGGGGGCAGGGTCTTTCCTCCTCCCACACAGTGTCTTTGTTATTTTGAGCTGTGTTCTCACCCAGGGAGGAGGCGATCCGTTCGATGTGGGCCGTCTTCAGGATTTCCACGTCTGTGCTTCTCACCTCAATCCTGCAGGGACAGAAACACCCGTTATCTGCTACCAGCCAAGGCCACGAAGACATTTTCAAACGTGTTTTTCCTTAGATGACAAAAGAATTCGATTTCTTCCTTCTCAACCTTCCCCTTAAACCAAAGTCACAGCCAACTAGGAATTCATGTGCCTGAGGTGAGAGGCAGCAAGGACCCTGGTGAATTTTTTTTTTTCCTTTTAAGACAGAAAAGATTGGCCGGATTTAAGAGTAAAAATGAATTCAAATCGTGATTTTTATGAGGCAAATTCTACTTTCAAATGCACAAATAACTCCTTTGTTAGATTTTCAGAGTAGACTGTAATGTCACTAAAAACAGTTTACAGCCCAGCAGGTGTGTTTTAGTTTAAAAGGACATGCTTTCCTTTTAAACTCGAATATTCAATTACCTTCCGAGCCGCAGGGAAAGTGTGAGCTGGGGACTAAGCAAGCTTAGGAGGCCGCTCTGAAGAGGGATGGGGACCTGGGGAAGCTATAACTGGAGCTGACAAGGTTTTCTTTCTGAATTGGGAATTCTTCGCTTAGACACAGCAATACCACAATCATACGTGATCTGGGCCTTTTAATCATCCTGGGTAATATTATGTTTTTCCATCTCCGGATAATCAAGAGCAAAACGGTAACATGCTTCCACATAGTATGTGCCTCCTGAATGCTAAACAGTAGTTTCTAAATGGATGGACAGGCCGAAACATCAGACAGTTCAAAACTGATGGGCCTGTCACACAAATTTGAGAAAAAGACACAAATCTGTGGGAAGGAATCATCCCTACGTGAACCCCAACAAGAATTTCCCTTGTGTATAATTTATATTTATTCGATTTCTCTGCCGATCTCTCACACAGTGGACCTCATATGGATCTTCAATTTACAAATGAACATTAAAAAAACAAAACAAAACAGTGTTTTCCTCTTAAGATTACAAGCACAAGTCCTTTACAGTAACTGAAAAATAAACCCGGAAGAGTAGACTTCACCTCTGGGGGGTGGGGGAGGTGCAGTATCACAAATCCCATTCAGAAAAAAGTAATATTTAACAAACCCACAACACTTAACTTTTCATCTAAGGAAAGTATTTGAACGCTTAGAAAAAATTCCTTTTTTCTCTTATTTTTTGTTGACATCTCAGTTCTGGCCAACACCTACGATGAAGAAAAAAGAAAAACCTGTCATTACCAAGACACGAAAAACAGTTAACACAAAGGAACGCTAACGTGTAGATGCAAACGCAGCAACTAATCCTTTTAAGACCTTCCACCGGGACGTAGGCAATACCCTGCCCCATCCTGGGACTTCGCAGATGAGGGAAACCAAAGAAGGCCCGGGGTGAGTGGCAGACGCAGGCAGGGAGCGGGGTCTTGGCCTTGCAGTCGGGCACTCTCCGGGGCCTGTTGCTGGAAAGTCTCCCCAGGGCACTGCCCTCGTTTACTAGCACAGGGCTCCCTTCCAGACATTCCCTCGAGGTACGCGCTGCCTTACACGCCTTTCTAAAGCTCAAACTGCTCGTTTTTTTCTAACTGTAAAAAAAAAAAACACTTCTGGAAGGGAAACCTCGGGAGCACCAGACCAGAAGCCCCGTTAGGCGGGGAAGGCGGATGGCCGCCCGCCCGCCTCCGTTGCTTCGCCCCAGGATCTCCCAGGCCTGTCCTGATGGAGATTTTACTTGTCAACCCGGAGTCCTTCACGGGCCCCGGAACCACAGACCGAAGGCTGTCACCTTGGCAGGCCACAGTCGCTTCTCCCATCTGCACAGGACATACTGGACGTCCGTCATGACTTGAACTCATGTGGCAAGTGGGAACGACTGGGCACCGCCGGGCGCGGGCAGGTCTGACGCGGGGCGCCCTGCAACACAATCGGCACAGGGGTTTCGGAGCTGTGTGCGGGCTGCTGGGCCGCTGCTGGCACAGCGGGCACCGCCCGGCCCGGCGCCCGCGCTCCCGCCCGAGGATGTGCAAACGGCTCCCAAACAGACCGTCCCCGCGCCCGAGGCCTGCCCCGCCCCGCGCTCACACCCCTCCCCGCGCGGGGCCTCGGCCGCGCAGCCCAGGGGACCGCGCCGGCCGTGTCGCTGTCCCTCAAAGGACGGGGACAGCTGCACGGCTGTCCTCCCGGGCCGGCCGCCCACGGGCACCGCCGCAGGAGAGTCCAGGCCCGGGCCGGGCTCGGGGGTCGGCCGGGGGGTGGGGGAGAGGGCGCACGCGGCAGGGCGGGGCCTCGGCGAGCCGGGCAGGGGGCGCACGCGGCGGGGGACGGCTCGAGCCCCCGGGGGCCCTCCTCTCGGGGTTCGCCCCTCCCCCCAGGCCCGGCGCGGCTGCCTCAGCCCCCGCCGGCCGACCCGCGGGTCGCAGCCCGCAGGGCTCACCGGGCGCCCGGCCTCTGCAACGCGGCGTCCCCGAGCCCGGCGCGGAGGACGAGGAGACCGCGGCGGCCCAACGGCGTCAGCACCCGCGCCTTCCCAGCCGCCGCCCGCGCCCGCGCTCACCGCCTCCGCCGCCGCCGCCGCCGCCCCCACCGCGGGCTAGGGGCGGGGCCAACCTCGCGGCGCCGCCAAGTCCTACCCCCGCCGCCGGCCAATGGGGCGCGCGTGTCCGCCCCGGGACCCGCCCCTTCCGCCCGGGCGGGCGTGCGCGCGGCTGACTGATAGGCGCCGGGCGCGCGGGCGGTTGATTGACGGGCGCTGGGAGGACGGCACGAAGCAGAGGGGCGACGGCGGGCAGCCACGACAGGCGGCCTCCGCCCGGGCCGGCCCCGCTCTCTTTGTGAGCCCGCCTCCGGGCGCCGCGGCCAGGCGAAGGAGCCCACGCCGCCCCCCCCCCGACCGGCCCGAGAGAAGCTTCCAGAGCCTGCCAGAACCTTCACGTTCCTGAGGCGCCACGTGCTGCTGCGGTGCCCACGGCGGAGGCACTGAGCGCAGCCCGGGAAGCAGGTACCAGCGCATGGGCTGAGCTCCGGGGTCGCGTCGCCTCTTTTCAGCCTAATCCCCCGGCGTCGGCCAGGCGTGGGCCTCCGCAGGCGGGTCCAGGCCCGGCCTGGGGCCGGGGGTCGGCCGGGGGGTGGGGGAGCGGGCGCACGCGGCAGCGGGCGGAGGGGCGCGGCGGGCGGGGGGATGGAGGAACTGGGGGGACGGGGGAGCTGACGCCCGGTAGGGGGCGGGGAGGTCTGATGCCCGCGGGGGTGCGGCGCGGGGGCTGACACCAGGGGAGAGGACGGGCGGGGCGCCGGCGGGGGCGGCCCCGGGGGGGGGAGAGGGGGGGGAGACGGGGCAGAGGAGCGGGATGGGGCTGATGCCCGGGGTGAGGAGGGGCAGGGGGGCGCGGGGGCTTATGCCTGGGAGGTGGGGGAGCAGGGCCTGAGACGGGGCGGGGGGGCCGGTACGGTGGCAGGAGGGCTCAGGGGCTGATGCCCGGAGGGCGGGGGGCCGGGGGGCGCAAGAGCTGATGCGGGCGGGGTGACGGGGCGCGGGGGCTGACGCATGGGAGGTCGGGGAGCAGGAGGGAGCAAGGGATGAGGCGGGGGATGGGGGTCGACTCGTGGGGCGTTGGCGCCCAGGGCAGGCTGGGAGAGGGAAGCAGACGCCCGTAGGTGGGTGGGGGAGGAGGGGGGCGGAGCTGACGCCCTGGGAAAGCGGGGGCGGGAACCGCTCGGGGCGGGAGAGCAGGCCCGGCGCTGCAACCTGTGGCCGCCTGCGGGTGTCGGCGGGGCCTGCGTCTGTGGGCCTGGGCACGGTGCCCGCTGAGGTCCCCCTGGGGCCTTGCCCAGGGAGTGGGATGGATTCAGACGGTGGTGGAGTCAGAGTTCGGGGGCGGGTTTGCAGAATGCGGGTTCAGCGCTGGTTTGGACCGACTCGCCCTCGGGGTGTGTGTGGGTTTGGACGTTGGCTGCCGTCGTCATGGGTTACCGGCGGCGGAAGCAGCCCCGCCTGGCCCTCCGCACGCAGGGCTGCGGGGGAGCGCGAAGGGGCAGCTTGACCTCGTCCGCCCCGGGCCTTCAGGCGTTCAGACCCCCAGCCCCGCAGTCTGCCCTCAGTCCGGTGTGCTCCGAGACCGGTTCCGTACGTCGCGCGCAGACTCGAGTCCCCCGAGTTTCCAGCAGCGCAGACCTGGTTGGCTGCGAGCCGACGGAGCCCCTTCTAGAGGCGCTAGCGGGCCGGGGGTGGTTCAGCCTGGACTGGTTCCCAGAAGGGGGTGTCTTGTTAAAGGCTGTTCTCTTGGCAGTTGTGCTGGTCTTTCAGCAGCGGACCCTTTCGCGCAGCTGCGCGTCTCGGGGTTTGGGATAGTCAGCAAGCATTTCAGGGCGTGCCGTGCTGAGGAAAGTGGCCCTCGGGGAACTCAGTCCGAGGGAGAAGACAGGTCATCAAGTGGTAACAGCAACATCCCAGCGCTTTACACTACCCAGCTTCGTTTATCGCAGGAACCGTAGAAGGCCGGGATCGTAATTACCCCGTTGTTTTGGTTACAACAGCGCAAAACCTGTTAGCCAAACGCTTCCTCCGTCCTGCAGCCTGACCTGGGTTCAGCCTGGTGCTTCCGGTGCTCCCTCGCAGTCCCGTGTGTGCTTGCTTCAGCTGGAGGGTCAGCTGGCGCGGGGGGCTGGTGCCTCTGCCCGTGCGCTCCGGGCTTCTCCGCCCTCCGTGGAGTCGTGGGGTTGCTGCACGCACTTGCTCCAACAGCGTCGCCGGCTTCTGACTTGGCTGCTGAAGGTTCCCAAGAGCACAACCCATTTTACAGGCATGGAAACCCACAGAGAAGAAGGTTGACTCATTTGTCCAAAGCAGAGCTGAGATTTTATTTTTAAGATTTGTTATTTATTCCAGGAAGACAGAGCATGGGGGGGGGGGTAGAGGGAGAAGCAGACTCCCCGCTGAGCAGGGAGCCAGACTGACTGTAGGCTCCATCCCAGGCCCTTGGGATCATACATGACCTGAGCTGAAGGCAGGTGCTTCACTGACTGAGCCACCCAGGTGCCCCCAGAACTGAGATTTGATAGGAAAGTAGCTCCAAAGCCCCATGAAATACAAGTTCTGATAAAGCTAATACAGGAGAAGTTCAAGAAACCAAGAGAGTAACAGACAATTTTGTTTGTGGTCAGGGGTGGAGGGGATCGTGGAAATGACACTTAGCCTGAAATCCTGATGTCTGAATGGCCTGGGGACTGGGGGAGAGTTTTCAGAGCTTAGGGGCCATGCAAAGGCCCTGGGGTGGTGGAAGGTCCTACTTCTTAGAGAAAGTAAGTGATGCCTAGTGAGGCTAAGAACAAGGGTCAGGGAAGCAGAGGGAGTCTCTCAGGCTTAGGTGTGTTTTGGGTTTTGTTTCTAATTTATTATTTTATAATAATTACAAATCCACAGAAGTTTGCAGAAGTAGTCCAGAGAGGAACCTTGTACCTGTCACTCCATTTCCCCCCGTGGTTATATCTTGTGTATCTGTAATACAGTATCACAACCAGGACACTGAGATGATAAAGTGGTGTGTGGAGCTCTGAGCCGTTGTATGATGCATAGATTTGTGTACCCACCACCCTAGTCAAGACACAGGACATTCCCATAGCCACAGAGATCTCCCTCCAGCTGCCCCCGATAGACCCCCACAGGCACCCCACTGCCATCCCTCGTCCCTGGGCACCGCAAGTCTGTTCTCCATGTCTCTAATTCCCTGTGAATGCTCTATAAATGCAACCACACAGCACATAGCCTTTGGAGACCTCTTCTCACTCAGCACAATACCCCGGAGAGGCATTCAAACTCTCACATGTATCAGGAGTTCTTCCTTTTTGTCTCAGTAGTGTTCCATGCGGTGCATGTGCCGGATAATCTCCCTATTTTAAGGTCCCTAATGTCAACCCCATGTATACATAGTTTCCAGGGATCGGAGCGCGGACATCATTGGGACCCATCTATCCCACGGGATCAAGGAGGAGTGGGGGGCATGATCTAGATGCTGGCATGCCACGTCTGCCCTGTATTCCCAGATTCAAGCACACCCATACAGCTGCAGGCAGGCCAGGAAAGTTGTCTCTATTCTAGGAGCCACTTGCCCCATCGTAAGGGAGGTTCGCGGAGGAGAAGGGACATCTGAGGACAGCTAGCAAACCCTCATCGGAGCTTGTCCGCATTTCACCCCGGGGGTGGTTGAGAGGATTCACCAGGTCCTTGCCTGTGAGTGTCTTGTAGGCTGCCTGGCACCCCACAGCTGGGGCCCTGGTGGGCACAGAGCAGTTAATATCAGGGAGGCAGGTGCTGTGGGGTGGACAGAAGAGGTGCTCCTTGGGCACGTCGCCTCCGCCTCAGTTTACCCACTGTGAATTAGGGGAGACCGCATTGGGTATCTCCCCTGTGATCCTGCTGCCTCTTACCTGTAGTCACAGTGGTAGAGAAGGGTGGTTTGTCTGTTCCCCACCCAGCCTGGGGGAGAAGCCTGGGCTTCCCTCCAGTGTTTGGGGGGCCTGGAGCCTTGGAGTGCAGTCCAGGATTGAGTGACTGAGTGAGTGATCAAGTGGGCAGATGCGTCCCTGTGGGGCTGCCCAGTGGACTGTGCCAGGAAGCCCCACGTAGACCAGAGCAGAGTCTGTGGTACTCAGGACCCTTATCCCCGTAGCATGTAAAATAGAGGGAAGGCTGCATCTGTGACTCTGGGGGGCTGAGAAGAAACCCCAAAGAGAAAGGCACCCACACATCCTAGGTCTCTCCTGCCTAGACCTAGGTACCAGCAGCCCCACTGTGAGTGAGCTCTTCTCTTACCTGCCTCCTGTGGGCTGTTCCTGGCCCATGCTGTC